AATTTTGAAATCACGAATTCTCGTATGTGCAAAGTTGCCGATCGTCTGAAAGAAATATTTTACATTGTATGAATGTTATAAGGAATAGTTAATTGCTGCAAAGCAGCATTTTAGATTGTATATTGTTAATCTAATGTGTCACATTAGTGTCTTCTAGTCTATCAATTGTACAAATCACAACATATTGTTCATATTACAGTATACATTTTAAAGAAGCTAAATTTACAATGACGCCGTCAACGATATATATGATTTAAACTTGTTTTCAGATTTGTCTTTGTTTAACAATATGTTTGCGACATTATATTATTTTTTATGATTTTAAATATGTCTTTGATGTCAATATAACCGTACAGCAAAATACGAATTATGTACGGTTATCATCTCTGCCATTCTAATAACGAAATACGAAATGCTTAATAACAAATATTAAATGCCAAATGCTGAATGACAATTACTGCAAAAATATTTTTCACATGCCTTTTACGTGCTACTCTGATGCCATTCGACAGTAATGTTTTTGATGATTCAATTAACTGGGACATCATTGCAGCAGGAAGCTGTTTTATGTGGAGCCTTGAATCACGTTTATGAGGATAAAACGGCAAAGACCTCACGTGGCCCTCCGTGCATTGTTTTAGACACAAGCGGACACTTGAGTAGAATCAGCGACAGTTCGTAACCTACCTTGAAAGTTTCCTCACATCCGAAGGCATTGTCGGTATTTGAACCTACAGCGGTGAGGTGCAAGTAGTTTAAAGTCAACGACCTTCTCCTTACGCTTTCTAGCGTAATTTTATCAGTTGTTATATGTTGTCTTAACCGTTAATGTTTACCTGTGTGAGAAGTTTTTTATAAACGAATAACCGTTATCACATAATTAAAGGTAAAACATTTTTATACTTACTTTTGCATTCTTTCCGCCAGTTTAGATGAATATAGAGAGCATTGTAATAATGATCAAGGTGTTGCTGTTTCGATCCTCGGGCGAGTCTTTTGGTCATTTGTCTCTCACCGCTGATCAAGAATCATGTGAGATCAAGAATCATGAAGCATGTCGGACACTTACGGCGAAATTCCAGGAAAACCAGTTAAGTGGATCAGCATCCGAGATATGATCGATCAAAAAACCACGTTTTAATCAGCGTAAAGGAATCCCAGATAAAAAATGGGCAAATACTTTCGTATTTAAGACTTAATTCAGTTTTTTACAATATTTCATTCCAAGATACTTTATTTATAATAATTACATGCGTTCTAGAGGCGGTTTTGTTTCCAATAGTCTTTTAGTATTTGTACAAAAAGCTTGATAAATCATGACAAAAAATTAACATTATTATTCTGGGGTTACAATTATATGTTTAGAGTCTAATCCTTTGATATATGTAAAAGTTTAGTAAATCATTATTCAAATAAGAAAAAACTAACCAAAGAAGAAATATGAAAACTAGCAAGATTGTGTATTTAAAATACCATGCTAATTCACACCCTTATTTTATCGTATCGCTTCAACAATAAAAACAACTAAATTGTATAATTGTTGAAATAAGTAAATGTATTTTCTAAATATTAAAGAAACAAGGCCGATGATGAAGACTTGCAATGAATGATATAGGTTAAATTCTTGCATAAACTAAATTACACGTTTTATTTTATTACAAATATATTATTCATTATAAATCGACTTAACAGTTTTCTGAAAATATAGTCATGCATGTTGTGTTTTAATGTTTGGTGTTAACATACTGATATAATACGTAATGTTATGACTTAATACGCTCACCTTATTTTCTCTAAATCATACTTATATCGGTACTTCGTGTAATAGTACCTCCAAAAACGAAACTTCGACTCATTAACAGGACGTAAGACAAATGGAAGGAAGAAGCTGAACAGAGAACCTTAATAAAATCTTTGTGATAATGACCTTACATTGTAAAATAATCCACTATTGTCATTGATCTTTTGTCTTTCGATAAATAGATTGTTTAGAAAGAATGTTAGAAGCATATACTATTTAGTACATTTATAAGTTGATCACAGAAAAAAACTCACATATTTCGATAAAAAAAACTTAGCTAAAGATATTTCAGCGAGCAGGTTTTATAGTACTGCTAGACCTGTTCGCTGAAGCCAATCCCGTATCGAAACTCAACCAGAACCGTGACATATTTATGTCATGCTGTAATTCAATAAATTTGCATGATCTGGACAAAAGCTATTTTAATACAGGTAGTTAGATATATTTGGGGAACTTCAGTCTATATTTTTGAACACAGAACGTTAGATTGATAACATGATGCCCCAAAGTTTATCATTGGGTTCACATTTTATAAAATTCGCCGCCATTGCTGCCCTTGTTATCACATGACTAGCGAGAATTTAGGTTCGGATACCTTGGCATGACATTTGGTGACCAGTGTCCCAAATGCTATCTTTTATGTTCCTTTTTTGTTTCTTTTTCTTGATAAATAAACTTATAGTAGACTAATATTTTTGATAAAAGTGATAATGTCAAGATATCAATATCCTGTATATACTGAAGAAGTAACAAAGAAAACTTTTAAAGAAAATATAATACATTTGTTGAATTGTATTTTGATTGCAATTCATTTACAACTTCTCAATGAAATCTTTCCCATGAAAGCCATTTCTTGTAATTCACATGAACATATAATAAAATGTTAACATTTTGCTTATGATATGGTTTATGTTTTTGATTTATGTTGAAAGGTAAATAGTACAAAATATTAATGAAAGACTTGAAACTTAAAAACATTGAACATAAAATATACAAATGTGTAACTTTGGTAAAATTACAACTAAATCACTTTGTTAAGACAAGTTGTCCTTCTTCAGTTACTGGTGGCATCAATGATATTTCAGTTAACAAGTCAACATTAATTATTAGAAATATAAGAGCACAAATTGAATGCTATGTTCTCTTGTAGACAAATTAGATTAAAGACAATACAAATCTTTCATTACATGTATTGATCTTTGGTGTTTTCACCAGAGACGAGGAACCCAATAATGTGTACTAATGGAAGCATCATTACCTTTTTATTGTGCCCTTTGCAATTTTTGTACAATTCATATTGGCTAATGTTTTCGTATTTCATTTTAAAGGATAAATTGTGTTAAAAAATTTAAACTTATTTCTTTACCAGCATATACAAGTAACATAGTTAATATATAATTAATAAAGAACAAAAGCAAACGGGTTAGACAACAAGTTCTTGCAACATTAGATACAATTCGTCCCAAATTGAGTATTAAAATAACAGTTGATACGTAAATGTAGGCAGAAATTAAAAAGATTTATTAATAAGCACAGCAATTGGTTGATATTGGCAATTGGTTGATATAGACATTCAAAAGCAACAACAACTACTTTAGCGATGTTATCTGTTTTCTGATCCTTCGGGATCATTTATTCGATCAAGCCGGTGCTAGGGGGCGTGAGGGATTTAGCACTTTTTCACTATCCCTCATGTCAGACTCAATCAAACTTAGTCTGCAATTTTCATGTAATTATGCTGTGATTAATTCTGTCAAGGGATCACACTTTGTCAAGATTTTAAGTAAAAAAACCTTTTGAAGCAACCACCATACCAAAATTCCGTATAATACCCGGCGTAAAATCATGGCTACAGAATACACCAAAATCAACAACGGACGAAATTTTAAAAGAAATGATAATAGATCCTGAATTATCCCCACTTCAACTGTCACCCTTTAGAAGTAACAATCCGTCGCCGTGCAGCAGCCACACAAGCACATCAACCAATTGCCAGGATGAAAAAAAACACTGAATGACGTTGACATAAAAATTTATTCCATTTACGGTATTTTTTCTTAAAAAGCATACAGCTAAATATAGATTATGGGGTAAACCCAAAATGACATAATTTAAACTATTTTTAGAACAAATCACGTGACGTAAAAGTATACCCGATTTTTGTACGTTAGACAATGGTTTTTCTATTATTCTGATATTTTATAACCCTGATGAAGACTCGTGAGAGTCGAAACGTCGGTTAGCATCATTAAATAAACTTTAAAACTTATCCTGTGTTGATTGTTTGTTCCACTTGTATTGTTTTTCTTGTATTTTACGGTAGTGGAACAAGCATCCCGTTAGGGATCCAATCTTCACGGGTTCGTCAAACAGATCAACACACGGTGTGGGAGGTTATTCGAGATTTGTTATCTTACCTCCGGTATCCATCTATTGGATCCATCGTACTTTGCACTGACGATACCTTTGAAGAAGGAGCCACGCAACGAACACATAATTAGATGTCTGAATCAGAGCTTTACGAGGAATCGGTAACTACACAGTCAGCATCAGTAACAACGGTTCCGGTACAGGCTAATAAAAAACGAAAGACAGACGACAACGATTTTTCATCCCGCCGCATCAGCCAAGAAAATCTTTCTCGTTTTAAAGTTTTAAAGAAATTAAATATACAACTTACACGCACAGAACACCACGTCCAATATTTAGAGAAATGTGTTATTAATAAATCAACACCAAGATCTTTACGGGTTAATTTAACCCCACAGGTCCCAGTAATTAATTCAGTCCTACAAATTAAATGGGAAGAAGCCCACATAAACTTTGGACTACAACTCACCAAAATATTATTAGAATATTGGAACACAAGGAAATCACAACTGGTAGAAGAAATTAGGGAGGTAGAGAAACATCTAAAAGACACCACTTCAACTGACGAAGTCGACCTAATTGCTGACATCATATCAAAAATTGTACTATCGGTCAGAAGAGATCTCAGTAACAAAAAATCAACCCAAGATCCCGAAAAATCCTCTAAACAAAACACCCGCCAGTGATCATCCCAACCAAAAGAAACTGAAAAAATATGCCCAACAGAAGATTCAGAACAAAACAATTACATGAACGAAATCTTCTCCTCCGTAACTATCATAAATTTGTCATAAATTTATCAAACTACAATCTCTCCACACCCGAAAAAATGATTCTTTGTAGAGGATTGTCATTCTGCCCCACCCCAAGAAAAACAGACAAAATAGAATTACAACGAGACTTACTACTTTTCGACAGAAGAATGAGACTTAAACACTATTTTACAGATACCACATATAACAATCCTGACCCGTTCACACAAAGCTCAGGATGGAAACCACCTGCAGGCAAATCAATGAACCTCGATGCATTTCTGTCAATCGTCCATCATGACATTCTTACAATTAAACAGTCACCGAATACAAATTATAATATTACACCCGATGAGTACCTAGCAATAACAAAACTTCAACAAAATAAGGATATCATTATAAAACAAGCCGACAAAGGAGGAGCGATAGTCATTTTAAATAAATCTGATTACATTGTCGAAGGTTTAAGACAACTCAACGACAAAATCACATACAGGACCACACCCTACGATCTTACAAACAAATCCACCAGAGAGATCAACAATTTTTTAACATATCTGAAGAAACACTCCCTTATGTCACAGCAACACATCAGCTACCTTACTGCGAAAAATTGCAGGACACCCATCTTCTATTTATTACCTAAAATTCATAAGCCTAATAACCCCGGACGCCCCATCGTCTCAGCTTGTGGAAGTCCTACAGAAAAATTATCTGAATTTGTAGATCACTTTTTACAACCATTAGCACGTAAAGTCCCCTCATATATTAAAGATACCCGTCATTTCCTAGAAAAAATACACAAATTAAACAACGTACCTAAAGACGCATTCTTAGTCACAATAGATGTGACAGCACTTTACACTAATATTCCACACAAAGAAGGCATTTTAGCAGCCAAATATGCACTACAACAAAGATCTGAACAAGAACCCAAAACCTGGATCCTTCTAAGAATACTTTACTTCATACTCAAGAAAACATGTTTCAGATTCAATGATACATTTTATGAACAAATTGCCGGAACCACGATGGGTACCAAATGCGCACCTAGCTATGCGATAATTTTTATGGATAAGATAGAACAAGAGTTCCTAGCTAAATACCCGATATCTCCACTGGTATGGTGGAGATATATCGACGATATATTTATGGTTTGGCCACACTCGAGAGAGGATTTGAATGCCTTCACTACGGCCTTAAATAGTTTCCACACAACGGTCAAGTTTACGGTAGACATAAACCAAACATCAGCAAACTTCTTGGATGTTACTGTCAAAGACTTAAAAGGAAAATTATCAACCACACTATACACAAAACCAACGGATGCACATATGTATTTACACTATAGCTCATTCCATCCACGTCACCAAAAAGCAAGTATCCCATATAGCCAAGCCGTCAGAATAAGGAGAATATGCAGCACTGACGAACAATTTGAAATATGCACAAAACAACTTACGGAAAACCTTATTGCACGCGGTTATCCCAGAAAATTAATATACGAAGCCATCAAAAAAGCCAAAATTACCGATCTTGATACCAATGTCGATACTAAAGCACAAAAGGAAATTATACCGCTTATAATTACTCATAACCCGCTTATTCTAAGAACAAATAATATCATCTCTAAATACACCCACCTCCTGGAAAACGACCCCACTTTAACAATGTTTAATAAATACAAAATATGTACAGTATTTCGAAAACCAGCATGCCTAAGAAACACACTCACAAAATCAGACATCAATCCCCAGATGAAACCACAAGGATCACACCCATGTAAAAGAAATTGTATCGCATGCAAACATATCAGCAGTAAATCTTATGTTAAAATTCATTCAACAGGAAAATACTTTCATATCAAAGGCACATATGATTGTAATTCATCCAGTTTAATCTATTTAATAACATGCAACAAATGTGGAATACAATATGTAGGACAAACCGGCAATACTATAAGAGAACGTCTATATGGCCATTTCGCAGACATAAAAAATGCCAACAATTATAAACCCGTTTCCCGCCATTACACAACACACGAACACAACGTTAATGACGTCGACGTAACTATGTTATTATCAACACCTAAGAACGTCAACATCCGCCTCAGAACTGAAGAAACACTTATATCAATATTTAAAACACGATCACCATCCGGACTCAACTTAATACAGTAATAATGGAAATCCAAAATAATTTACAGAAACAACAGTTAACAGCGAACAACGAACACTTCATTGAAATATCCAAAAAACTACGACAATGTAAAACCTGCAACAAATTTCTGAAAGGATCAAAAAGTAACTTCAACCGACACTTTAAAATTCACCAAGACACGAAATTACGATTTATATGCTACATCTGCAACAACTCTTTTAGCCGACGTGAACACCTCCAGAAACACAGTAATACGATACACAAACAACCACTAAAACGATACCTCACCAAATTAGAGAAAAAACACGACAACATTGAAATAAAACCTATCAAACCTTGGAAAAAACCTTTTGAAGCAACCACCATACCAAAATTCCGTATAATACCCGGCGTAAAATCATGGCTACAGAATACACCAAAATCAACAACGGACGAAATTTTAAAAGAAATGATAATAGATCCGGAATTATCCCCACTTCAACTGTCACCCTTTAGAAGTAACAATCCGTCGCCGTGCAGCAGCCACACAAGCACATCAACCAATTGCCAGGATGAAAAAGAAACACTGAATGACGTTGACATAAAAATTTATTCCATTTACGGTATTTTTTCTTAAAAAGCATACAGCTAAATATAGATTATGGGGTAAACCCAAAATGACATAATTTAAACTATTTTTAGAACAAATCACGTGACGTAAAAGTATACCCGATTTTTGTACGTTAGACAATGGTTTTTCTATTATTCTGATATTTTATAACCCTGATGAAGACTCGTGAGAGTCGAAACGTCGGTTAGCATCATTAAATAAACTTTAAAACTTATCCTGTGTTGATTGTTTGTTCCACTTTTATTGTTTTATTGTAAGATTTTAAGTAGTTCGTTTATGTATGAGTAAACTGGAAATCGTTATGTGTATACTTAATTATATTGTTTCTCCGACAGGAAGTCCTTTCATTCCTTACACAATGCTTGGTAATGCTGCACAAGAACAAGTGAATAATCCCCAATAATTTAACATAATTATACGAGATCAAAAGGACTGATGGTCCTATCCTGCAATTTTTCGAGGAAACTTGTTAAAAAGACTTGCTATGACTATTCTTATGCAAGAAAAGGTGTTCAACGTCGCATAGATTTCATTGGATAATTATGTAAAGAGGACAATAAATAATCATGCATATGTTGTCTTTAATACAAAAACAATAAAAATAGGCATTAAAGGATATTCAATATACATAAGTGCATGCTAAACTGTGACAATCGATGTCAAAGTAAAAACACTATTTCTTATCCATGTAAACAGGATTTACAAAATAGTTTTTAATGTACGATGAAAATACTTCACTTCTATTGGCTATTTTTCACGTAAACCCGTAATCGCAATGTATCAACACCTGTAAAAAAAGAAAGTTGAAAGAGTGCGATACTCGTTGGTTTTATGATGACTGATTGTGTCCGTAAAACAAGGCATCTGGAGGCTCATTTGATGTCTTCCTACCTTCAACAGTCAGCAAAATTGTCGGAATATGACCTAAACGGTATAGGTTTAACTTCACACTCAACCAAAAAAAAATGGAATATCAAATGAAAATTTTGTCGCTGTTTATCCTGATAGCTAAAGCAAGTAGGGAATCACTTTTGGCGAATACTTTATCACTTTCTTGTTCATTTGTGTACTTTGTTAACAAGAAATTATGTGTTTTGTTCTATAAAAAGGGCATTTATTGTTTTGTACCGGCGTATGTAATGTATTAAAGTTCTCAGTGACTTCACCCTTAATGCTGAATTGAGTCTTATATATAAGGCAACAATAAGTTGCGCACCAGATATTTATTACTGTTTAAGATGGTAACTATAGGGTTGGAAGTTGGTTCAGACTCAATTTGTACGTACCGCTTCATGTTTTACTGATCGCCAGAGATGCCTTATCTCCAGATATCATTGTTTCATTCACTATCCGATTTGACTACTAATAAGTCGACATAAAACGAATTATGAAAAGAAAAATATACAATTCTATTTTACTCTGCTTTAATGTTAACTTAATTTCAAGTTTGAACGCCATCGTTTTATGTTATATCAAAAACAATACTGCTGTTGTAGAGAGATTTCCTTAACAATACAAAACATTTGTTAAACTAAGACAAAATTGTTACGGAGATTCAGTCCAATGATTATCTAACTTACGACCTCCCAAGGACACAATATCGCACAGATCAAAATTTAACAATTGATTTTTGTGTCATTTCCAAATTTTATGACATACTTTGATATTTGAATCTATGCTATTTGATATCAAATGATGTGATGCATAAAAATCACAATCTATGAAGTTTTCTCCAATGGCTTTCATAAAACAGAAAAATGATCTAGGGAATTGAACTCTGGTAATGTTACAATATTGTTTAAAAGATACAAAGGCCAATATCTAATCCAGTTTTATAAGATTGCTTGAAAATCTAACAGAAAAGTGTACAGTATAGATATTTTTATAATATGTTGTTTATTGTCTATCAAATAATTCAAGGATGAAATTAACTTAACGTAGAAATTGCTGTATTTGTAAGATAAGAAAAAGTAAATATATATGACTTGGCCGCCAAAAGTAGATAATGTATATAAATTTTTATTTTAAGTCTGCTTTTTTATAATAATGAAGTTTGGAATTTCTAACAATTAATTATTCGATGATATGGCTTTAGTTTTCAAAGGAATTGCCGGAAAAATGTATAACGTGTTTAAATATACTATTTTTAAAAATATTTGCTTATGTTTGCCAATACAAGTCTTACTGTTTCTCATAAATCCTAGGGATAAAACAACAGCTAAACGGAATGAGCGTAGCCAAATTGCAAAGATGTGTAATGTATTTGTTTTTTCTCTTATATAGAGGAACAAAATTATCATTATTGTTGCTTGCACCCAAAGCTGTTCTTTTGGATCATTAATTCTAGGATATTTAATGTTGAAAATTAAATATCGCTTATGCATGTGTAACGGGCACTGGGGATGCTGCACTTTCCCATGATCCCTAATCAACAGGCTCATTTACACCGAGTTTACAGATTTGATGTTATATTCTTCCTTTCATTGCTTTCGAAGTATCTCGACATTGTCAGAAAGTTTAACTTTTATGACGCTATGTGACTGCTTCAAACGTAGTCGTACATTTATCATATCAATGATCTAAAATTATATTACTTGTCGACTAGCATTTGTTCTTCATAGGAAAAATGGGTTGATGATGTCACTGAACTGCATACAAATACGTAATAACACGGTTAGAAAGGACAAATACTAAGTCACTAAATCATTTTAGATAACAAATGAATTCAGTGTTTAATACAGTTTTCTTGAAGACCTTTCTCGTCACCATCATACTTATTCCATAGTAAGTAACCCCTTTAAAAAGGCTTTTTCTGCTTCATATGAAAACGCCTTCACAAAAATGACCATCAAAAGCAACAAGTATACAAAATCAAGTTTGAATATGACGACGGGTTACTACAACTTGTCCTTATGTAACTCAAATTATGAAATATGTTTCCATCACTATCTGAGATAAAATAATTGAATAACGAACAAAGTAGCAGTGTTTAAAAGTATTGTATAAAGCTATGTCTTTTAGTCTAAATGCACAATTGTAACAGTTTATCAGTTTGTTATTATTTTAAATCGGTTACCTTTCTACTCACAGTACCATATTTGCTAACAAATCTACACGTGTTATTGGAATATAAAAAGTTTTATTATTATTATTATTATTATTATTATTATTATTATTGGAGGCTTGGCTGGAGTAATATTAATTTATCGTAACTTCATTCATTTCCGTGCACAAAAGGATAGGATAGGTTTTATATATCTTATATACATGATGTAAACAATTAGCAGCCATCAGTTTAAGTATTTCCGGTATTTTCTATGGCAGATGTATTGTAAGTGTTATAATTTAAGTTCTAAGTACAAATATTGTCAAGGATTGAATATTGTAAACAAAATTTATACTAGTATCCATGGTGTTACTATAATAAGAAAAGATATTAAACAAAAGTCGAAATAAAGGGTATAACGAGAAGAGAGCGGAAATTTATTCCTTGCTGTACTTTCCATTTGTGAACTGCTTCTTTCTAAAGCTGTGGGATACCACTGACGAGACGTTACATCGATAAATGCGATCACCAGTCTGTGTCACTGCCACAATTACTATATCGGAAATAATTAAACTCAATTATTGTGTAAAGAGAATTACATCAACGAAGAAATGATTTGATTAATAGGACAAACTGTCCGTAAAAAGTACATTTATATATCAGACAAGATCGGAAACAATGTTGATACAAATAAAACAGAAACATCAATGAAATTTAATAACTTTTATTTTTTGTTTTGTTTATTTCATATTGACCAAATCTTTCGAAACAGCCTTGCAAAATTCAAATGTTAACATTATTATTTTTCATACATGACAAGCAGATTTAAACCAAAATATTAAAAGCTTACTTATCAAAAGCTAAGTCAGAAATTGAAGATGTAAACAAAATATACATTTGTTAACATGGACCAATGTATTAAGTTTTATACTTCTTTTCAGGAAACGTTTTCTTTATGGATAAATTCAAAGCATATCTTTGTTATATGCTCTCAAAAATGTAGTCATAATGATATGGTATACAGTATGTATTTATATAAATATATAATAATCCCAAAAATAGAGGGCGTTTCATTTCCAAACTATGTTACTGAAGACAACTTAACACAAATAACGTTGTTTTGTCTTATGTCTTCGGACATCTTTAGTTATTTAAAATTTACATTTCATGAAGATGGTCGTACTATTATTTTCTTTATCTGTTTATAGTGAATATTTATTATGTTTATACTAAATATTGTTAAAATGTCAAAATAAAGTGCAACTTATTATTGTTTATTTATTCATAGCGTTTTTAATAATGAAAATATTAAATTTTAATTTTCTGTCTCTAAAAAATGGGAAATATCAATAAATCATAAATTAGAAAAATTAATAAAACAATGGCCTAAACGAATTTTTGCGGCGATTTACATTGAAAAATTGTTGGTTAACTTGTGAAATCTTTGTAAATTAGTTTGTTGTGTTTCTTCTGCATAAAATTACGAAAGCTTAAGAAAAATATAATTATATTACTTTTTAAAAAATATAAATTAGGCAGTTATATTATGTTAAGCAGAAAAGGCGGTGTCAAAATTTTAAAGACATCATGTCAATAATGAAATGACAAAATGTCAATTGAGATTCTGTCACAATCTAATGAAGTCATTTTGATTGCCGTTTGAACATATCGAGGCACACATTTTGTGAAGCATTTTGCACGCACTAAATAGTTCTTCTGTTTCAGCCTGTCTGGCACACGTGACAAAACTTTGAACACATCTTTCTACATAGCATGCTGAAATAGAAACAGTATTTGTATTTGCAACAGGTCAATAACACACAGAATATATTATCTTAGTACTCAGAATTTGTTATTTAATTGATACTGCATAACAAACTGTCTAAATATTTTATATGGATCAAATCTGTATTGATGTATATTGTGACATTAAATGGAAGCGCATAACTATGTATCTATTTAGTAAGTTTACTTACAATACACTTCAATTGCATCTTGACATTTGCCATATTGTGAATCTTCAGGTGGATAATCTGAAACATTTATGACAAATATAGAATAATACTTATAAATAACCTTAATCAACTAATTATCGCCAGAGATATAAGTAATCAAATATTTATTCATATTAATAACAAAATGTCTTTTTTTCTAGATCAGTATGTCCTTTGCTAACTTGCTATGTTTTTCTTTCACTTTCTTAAGCATTGTTATTTCTATGTGTATATCTTTGCATTTCTCTGATTTTACTTAAACGAAGATAAAGTGTGGGTTTAAAGTGTTAACTGTAATTAATTGAAGTTGTAACAATTGCACAAGCAAATGGGCGTCATTCTTTTAAGACATATTATTTGATCGGTAAAAAGTATTTGTCCCGCCTATTATTGAAATAATATTTCTTAATTGAAAACGTATTAACCCTAAATAAAAAGTTCACGAATCTATAAATAAAAGTGATTAGAAGTAAAACAAACTGGTACTGTTACGGTGTGTTACAATACAAAGGCGAACGTGCTGGACGTTGAGACTGGAAACAATATGTTTCTTTGAAAGCTGTCAGTTTGTTCGTTTTATAGCTCATTATTTATAAACTCGTATAAAGACATTTGTTCAATCACGCTGTTATGTTGCTAAGGCGAGCGTGATGATGTAGCGAAGTGTTAATGTTATTCCAGACAAATTGATTTTACTTACTAGTTTGTGGAATAGTATCCATGGAGTCCACAGACTTTTTAGTCCACCATGCTGAAAATATAACAAAAAAGTTGTTTATCTTTCTCGGATTCGCTCCTTTTTCATTAATGGATAAATGTTGATTTAAGAAATAGGAAAATAGTGTAACTTTTATGAAAAAATCAAAAGAAAGGGATGGAGAAATATATATGATTTAAATAACATTTAAGCATTCTTTAAGTGCTATAATGATCGACATTGTCTGCAATTGCAATTGTAACATCCCGGTCCTCTCTTGTTTGTTGACGGCGATGGAAGACAGATTTAATTCGTTTTTTAGGTTGTTGTTGTTGTTGTTTTTTGGGGTTTTTTTGTTGTTGTTTTTTTTTTTGTTTTTTTTTTTTTTTTTTTGTTGGTTTTTTGGTTAATGTTGTTTTGTTATTTCAAAAAAAGTATGTATATGACCGTATAGCTTTCTATACAATATAACTAAAATGAATTTGTATTAACGAAATACATATGTAACGCTTATGTTTGCTTAGTGTTGGGTTTGTTTCCCATAATAAAAATGTTTAACTTAAAGAGCTATATATGGTAATGAAACCAAATTATATTCATAATCCCCTTTCAAGCACGAAACATTTCCTAGAAAAAAATGTTTTGTGTTCATCAAATTATTTAGAAACAAATTATTTCATATAAACAATATTGGCACTGTGATGAATCATATGTATACATGTGTATTACAAAAACTGTAACATAATTTCTTAAACACTAAATTTGCGTATACTATGATACTATTTATAAGAAACACTTACTGTTTCTTTTGATTAGAGGCGCCGAAAAAAAGTCATCATCTGTTGATAGTGTTCTTGCGTCTGAATTACCTGAAAAGCATAGAAACAAATTGAAAATATACAGTCCGGGGATTGTTCTGCTAGAACAATACAACATGAGTTGGCGCTTATGTCGCTTTATCACTTTTGAGATATGTAAAATATGCAGAGAAAGAGAAACTGAAAGCATGGTTTCATTGATGTAACAATTTCATTTAAAATCTTATCTGTAAATATCTCAATATACAATATATTCTCATGCTCCTGTTGATTACTTTTGCTATTGTGTCAGGTATCTTTGTTAGGCTTGTTGACGGTAATAATTACATTGTGCCGTCATTGTTATAAACTGCTTGCAATTTGCATCACACGCGACAAATTTTTAAGACTGTTTTTAAAATACAGTAATTAAACAAAAACTCGATTTTAACTGCCAAATCCTTAATGCCCATGTTGAAGTGTTTTTTGTTATTTTCACAGGTCCTGACATTTGACGACAAAAACAGATCATTTAACGATTGACGTATTCTTTATAAAGCAAGAAATTTTAGAGACCATATTGATATTCAGTTTACCATTACATAGTTTCCGTTGTTTATAGTTTCTGTTAACAACATTTGTATAACAAGAGACCTTTAACATGCTTTGACAAATTCTTTTACGTTAATATTGTTATCAAATAATGTTGGTTTTCGATCTCTCGATGCTCATGGATCAAGATTTAAATATTGAAATCGGCAATCATTTCCGGTGTTCATGATACGCTTTGATATTTGAATCCGTTTATTGATGTGAGTGAAGTAAGGCGGAAATTTCAGTTATCATGCCACCTACTTCAAAGATTTGGGTTGAATTGAAATATAGTAGTGGGAATTGAACGCCTTTGTTGGTGTAAGATTGGTTTTCTACACGGATCATTCCAAACCGAAAGATATTAAATAAGTTTTTGTAACGATTTGTAAAGGTATGTGTAAAGGGTTCAAACTTGATCTATTGATACAAAAGCTCGAACGAAGATTAGTTCAGGGTCAAAGGTATTTTACGGGAAATCATATTAAATACCAATTGTTTGTAATATGACAACTTTGTGAGGAGTCATAAAATCGTTTTCATTGGTATATACGCCTTTACATGCAATGTATGTACACTAAAGCGACCGAAAATTCAAATGTAAATAAATGTATTATTTGCACATCATGATAATTTCTAACTTTTGCATAACTTCTACAAATATAAAATAAAAGTGATAAAAGTATTTTTCAACACAAAACGAATATTTCTTACAAAGTTCCTATAGTGGAAACATAGACAATATTGGTAACAACAAAATATATAGGCGAATTAGCGTTAGAAATCAAGGAAGCCAATATCATGCATTTCGTTTTTGTTTCTTTATTAGCGGGGAATAACTAAGTCTTCTTGTTTATAAGAGTCTTCGCATTTTATTATACCATTTGTAGAGAGGATTTGTTTTCACTTTATTTTACATCATTTTTATGGCAGCCATGTAACGTTCTCTCAGAGGGAAACTCCTTTAATGTACTGTTCTTATATGTTACTAGTATTCCAAAATTTACAATCTTCTTAACAGTTAAGATAGTTTGTGTTATAAAGATGTGTGAGTAGTCAGACAATTTAGGAAAATAGTCATCAATAAGGATTCTATATATAATTTATAACTTTTCAGTATTTTGTAATCATACTGATCTTATTATAATTTTTTTTCGAGAAATTGAAGAATAAAAAAAAAGATATTGCATAGACGCACTCTATTAATGTATAATATAAGGGTTAACCATGTATATTGTGTTAGACAGATGTTTTTATTTTATTAATGTTAAATCTTAAAGAGGTAAATAACAGAATGCCTGTAGGAAATAGAGTAGATGAAAGCACAATACTTAGTGACAATTAGAAGTATAAAAAGTAAATATTTTCAAAATTGTAAAAGAAAATTACCTTATAAGTCAGCATAGGTCAAACAGTCATAAAGGGAATCAATCAATCAACCAATAGATTTCGTCAGTAATTATTTGATTTAATTCTTGATGGCTGATGTTTTAACAGGAAAATAACTTTTTCATTCGTCCATAAATCTATTTTACAATAAATATATTTTCAATCATGAGTAAATTGCGTGAAACAAATTTCATTTTGCTACATGTTTTCCTTTTTACTTTGATGTTAAATACTTATTGTATCAGGCAATCTTGCAGAGGGTGGGATGAACGTTGTATTAAAATATTAAAATATTCCTTATAGACAAAATTTCATATAGCCAATTTATATATGGCGAGATATACTTAATATGTCTAACCGGGCATTCATGTGTAAAACCGTTCTTATTATTTAATATCCTGGAGAAAACAAAAGTCTTAATCAATTGAAAAGAAAGAAGACACCGTTTCCTAATAATAAATATTCATTTAAGATTGCGTTCACTAAGCAGAAAATATATCTGAATATATAACACTGGAAAAATGATTGAAAGAAATGTTTGTTCTTTTCTATCAAATAACAAAACTAAAATGTCTCTACATCAGATTGATGTTTTGACAAATACTAAATTGTATGTCTTTAAAATAGTGTAACTTTATATTAGTCCTAGAAAATATTATCCACTTCATACTGGTATTATTCAAACAATTGCGGCTGTGAATTTACAAAAGACATTTTAAAGTGAAGAAAACAAGTGAAGATTAATGAGAGTGTTACATGAAACATGTTGTTAATTACTCGTTTGAATAAAATCCGAGTGCATCCTTTAATTTAATGTTAGAATAGTAAAAAGGGAATAACATTAAAATAGGGAAGACGATTCCTTGTTTACATTTTTGAGCTGTACGGTTTTATAGCAAATATTCCTTTATGCAATTTATTTGACTAATATTGAGTGCTATGTTTTTCAATTGATAGCGAACAATTTATAAAAGAAAATGTATACGCTATTTCGCTTTAACACAAATACTTTAAATATCAACTTTTAATTAAGTATAATGGGGATAATTTTGCTATGTGATACTATTCGTTCATACAAAAATAAAACAGGCAAATCAATTTAAAGTCAATTGCCAGGTTTGACAGCACCCGTTAACAAATACATTGATTAAAACTAATGAAGATTTCAACTCAAAACATTCTCTCTCTCTGTCAATGTGTCATGAAATGTACTTTTAGATGAACTTTTTATCGTTATTATACTTTATTATTCCTTTATATATTTTAATTCAAATTCTCATTTCATTTCCATTATAATAAAAGCAAACATCATTAAAACACACATTATCATCGGATCAGTTAATCATGCCTTCAATTTTGTAGTATATATAGATTTCTTTTTAAATCGAGATTCATATACAGAATTCAATATGAAAATAAATATTTTGAGAAATTATGTCTGGCCATATATTTAGCTTGAATTTTAAAAATCTTAAAAGACATAGCGATATTAAAAGATTTTAGGCATAACATCAGCAAAAAAAAAAAATTTTGAAATAAAAATATCACCAGGACTGTTTTGGTATACCGCCCACTCACAATCTCAAAATGATCTCTTAATAAGTAACATGTACGTCTTTATAATTACTAAACAGACGATTTATGTTCTCAATATTATTTTAGTCATAAGTGTATCATCTTATTATTAAGGTTCATACAGTGTCACAAAACATATGTATTATCTTTGAAATGAAGAGTGACACGTTTGTAATCTAATCATATTATTTTACTCATAAACTAATTAGCTCGCTCTCTGTGTGTGACAATATGTCAGTTTCCATCATAGGTCTCAACCTTTTCTCTGCCATATTATAATGTTAAATGAAAACTTCATCAAAACGACACTTAGAGTCAATTTTAAACACAATAAAACATGAAATAGAGTGCGTTCTTTTATTTTCAAATTTCTGACAAAATACGTAATTTTAATAGCAGAGAGTATTTATTGCACTTCACATAATGTGAACTTATGTCGGAAGCATTTTCAGATAATTTATTGGTATTTATAACGTTAAATAACAATATAATTAAATAAATATATGCGTATAAAAAATAGCATCCTACTCAAAAGTAAAAATTAAAACAAAAACAACAAACGCATTGTGCATACTTAATGCTCTATAAATATTAGTCTTCATTTTCTCTTGTATACCGGTGTACGGAAGCAGTAAAGAATTTTGATGATCATAAAGACGTACTGTGAAATTAACATGAAACGTAAGCATTTATATAAAAACAATCTGATATTCTTAAATCCAGAAATACAAAAATGGTCCAAAACGCACTATCTAAACAATACATTTTATTCATATTATTACAGAATGCTATTTGTTAATTTTGTTATCTAAGAGTTGACTTACCTATTTGAGAAGCCAAGAAGAAGATTACAAGCAGTAGAGTTGTTCCTACAATTTGTAACTGTTTGGAAGGAGAAGTTTTTGAAGATGTGATTTGGTCCATTGTCCTGAGTATTCCTTTTAATCAACGGTTGGTTTCAAAACCAGAGCTTTCTTTAAAATCTTGTTGTATTCAATTAGATCCCACCTCTTTCCCGATAATGTTAAAGCAACTGAAAATGCTACACGAGCTTCTGTTAGTAACTGTCAATCCAAGTCCGATATAACACTGAATATTCCACATCGACTCGCGGCTTCTTATAGGCCACGGTTTCTCGCTTGATGACAGATGGACCTATGTCATAACAAAAGGGAATGGTCAACTCACGAACAACGACACGTTAAATGATCATGATATTTTTACTTAATGAAGAGGCAGATAATGTAATGTTATTGATAATCTTTCAATTGGTACAAAATGTGTCGCTACATATCCATATCATTAGATCTTTTACGTAACTGTAACATTATCAGTATGTTACTTCTATATTATGACGTTGATAATTAACGAATATTTTTAACAATTTGGATTGGTACACATTTCAGATCAACTTTTTTGTCTAAAATAAATATGTCTGCTACTAGCTTCAACTGGCATATATTTTTAAGAATCATATTGCTGTTTGATTCTTGTTACGTTATCTAAACTTAATTACTGATATCACTAAAAGTCATAGTAAATGACAAACTGTCAAAATTGTCGATGTTGTAAACACTAATAGCTTTTCATTTACAGCTTTGAAGTAGGAAGTTTGACTCCCCGGTTGATTATGACAGTATTCTTTGCATACAATCTAGGAGAATAAACATATTTCAGTTAAATGCAACATTCATGCCTTTTGTAAACAGATGATATTAAGATTATTCTTTGTATAGCATTACGTTAACAATGTAAGACATTTCTGAAAAAAAGTGATTTACTTGCACATGTTAATCAAAATTCACAGTTTCGACGTTCTAATCACAGGAAATAGATGTATGTCAATTTTGAGTTCGAAGTCGGAGTTCAAATGTCTTGAAATACTATTACAATGGCCGGTAAGCCTGAGTCATAAATTACAAAGTATTTGAAAGACAAACAGTAAATTATTATACTACAGGGCAACAAAAATGATAGTTTTGTTGTTTTTCAATTCTAACTTATAACATAAAAAGTAATGATTTGTGCAGATACTTACAACTTGATTGATTTATACTGAATTAGTGTAATTAAAGAGGGAATTGTAGTATGTATTAAGTGACCATACACTGGTTTAAAGAAAACAGAGCCAATAACATTCCAATGTCATTCTAGCGTACGTATTATTCTATTTGTTTTTCTTCAAATAAATAATCGTATTTGACACATGTAGTACACATTAAAGTTTTGATTTTGTATATTGAGACAGGGAAATTTAAGCTTAAGAAGAAGTATGTAATTGTAAACTGGTTATATTATTAAAATCGTATTTACTAAGAAAACATCACTGTCATCAGATTCGTTTAACTGTTTGTTTTTATCATCTACATTTCTGTTTTGTTAACAGTTATCAGAAATAATCATGTGACTGAATTGTTCAGGTAGATTGATTTCCATACCTAATTAGCGTTAAATCATGATTTGCGGCGATTATTGTTTGAAATAGATAATCATTTTACAAAGTAAAATAAACATTATAGCAGTTTGTTACTGTTCGTCAAAGAACATTTGTAAAACATTTTAAAAGAAATGAAACTTCTATACAATGATATTTAAACACATCATATGAGCCGCGTCATGACAAAACCAACATAATGGGTTTGCGACCAGCATGGATCCAGACCAGCCTGCGCATCCGCGCAGTCTGATCAGGATCCATGCTGTTCGCTTACAAACCCTATAACAAGTAGAGAAACTGATAGCGAACAGCATGTATCCTGATCAGACTCATATATCAATAATGTTCTGAAAGTCTTCATGAAGATATATCATGTATATTTTGTAGAATGTATCTTTGTACACGTGAGAATACAGGAAAAAACAACTATTTACGTCTGTCTACTCACAAAAAGACTTGATTAAATTTCTGTAATTATCAAGTTTCGAGGATTTTCTAAAAAGGTCTGATACTGCTATCAACTTATTTTATATGTAACAAAGAAACAATAAAAATGATTTTGGATCTGATAAATAAACTTTAAAAAAAACTTGACAACAGATTCGCATTTGCATAGTAAAGTATTTATCTGCTTAAAATTGTTAAAAATATAAACGGATTTATTACTTTTTGCGGCATACATCAGTAGCATAATTATTGAATCATGGTAATGAAAACTCGTCTAGCCGGTATTGCAAAAAATATGATGACCCAAAAAGAAATAAAACTAAATCCCTCATTTGTCATGCATTGAACTTTTTATCTCCTATGCGATAAATTTAATCATTCTTCAGTTATTTCACCATTGTTACTCCGTTGTTTTATGTCTGCTTTCATGTTTGCATTCATTTATTTTATGAGAATACCATAAGTAAAACTTTACGTGCTATTTTGAAAATGTTCACTTCATCAAATTGCGACATGGATTGCTGCAGCCTTTTGATACCGAGACACAATATAGTACGTATATGATGAATAATACAGTAAAAAGACTGTAAAGCTGAACCATTTTATAGGAAATGGATATCTACAAGTATAATTTTGTCTATGGAGTATATAGATATACATATTTACGGTAATTGTTTTAAAGCAACATCCAATATAAAATTGGTTTGTTTGTTGTTGTTGTTTTTCTGTTGTTGTTGTTTTTTTTTTCTCTTAATATCTATATCTATATTGGTTTATTTCTTGTCTTGTTGTTAATAGTTTTTTTTAATCTCGCATTGCTTTAAATCATAAAGTCAAGTCCGGCAAAATAATTTATATCATATTTGCTATACATTATTATTGTAAACTCATAAATTTTCGCTTTGTATCTTTCATATATATAAGCAGAACTGAAGGTAGAAATTTGCAAATAATGTCGATTTCGCGAAAGTTTTCCGTCGCGAAAGTATCTGATTTTACAGTTACGAAAAATGAGCAGAAGAATACCACGCTTACGAATTGAATTTAAGTATATTAAACGCTTTCTATGAATCAACGTAAACATGACCATAATAACATTTAACATAATACCATAATGCAGTATGATAAAAGGCAAATGCATGTCATGTACAAAAGTCTAGAAAAAACAAAGTGATCCCTCGAAAGCATTAATCACCAGAAAATAACGTGAAAATTACAGACTCGGTTTGATTGAGTCTGTACATGGGGGATAATGAATAAGTACAACATCCCTTACGCACCCTGGCACCGGCTTGAGCGGCACTTAATTCTCAACACTTAATAGCGCTGGCATCAATGATCCCAAAATACCAGAAAAATATAACAAAACTGAAGTAAAATACGGGGCAACTTTTTACAGCTGCCACACAGCACTTGATACCTGCTGTTGTGAAGTATAAAAAAACGTCTGAAAACAAAGTGATCCCTCGGAAGCATTAATCACAACAAAATTACATGAAAATCATACCACAGAAACTGATTTGGAATAAACATTTTTAAAAATGAGTGACAACTCGACATGAATGAAGACAACGGCATCTACTGAGTTATTGCCCTTGAAAGAATTTAAGCATCAAATTTTACGCACAATTTTACGCCGTAGAAATACCAAACCTACCAAAAAGGAGTAAACAAGCTCACTAGTTTCTATGACAGCTAACCTTGTTTAAATTTCAATTGTTTATTACTGTTGTTATTATTACATCTACCTATTTTAGAAATACTGTACCGGTAATTAAGTTTATACTATTATATTTGTGTCTTATGGAGGAAGATAAAGTACACCATAAAATAACAAACGACTTCTCTTTTTTTGCTTCATTTGGCGTATTAACGTGACCATTTTTTTTTTTGAAAAGGAAACGTTTCGACTGAAGAAATCGAGATGGAGAAGCATTTGCTAGCGTTACATACAAAATATTTTGAAAGATTTCTTTTTTTGTGGAATGATAAAGGTATAAATGTCGTTATAACAATTTTCTTGCAAACCTCTCAGTTTAAGCTGATATTTGGGACTAGGTTTTGAACAACTAGAAATATGGAAATACACATGCATCTAATGTTTGTTTATAAATAACACAAACCTTGAGAAATTTGCTTCATGATTTTCGTTTGCGTGTGGTTGAACAACAGAACAAGCTTGTCGATGTATAAACTATTTTATTGCTCTTGTTTGTAGAGGTTTATTTTGGGTTATAAAATCGTATCATGCCTTTTTGTCGATTTAAAGCAATTATGTATTTTCGGATACAAGATAGTAAAAATAGCCGAGTGTGATGTAATAGGATGCATAACTGCAAAACTGATATGAAGTACATCTAATCTAGCAGTTATAACGGAAATCAAAGGAAATTGAACGATTCGCCACGTAACGATACGCTACATAATGTTTCGCTCAAGCTGATTTAGGACCATTTATAATGACTCGCATTTTAACAATTCTTGAACTCGATTGTTAAAGTTTTATATCATAAATAAATGTAAATCAATTTGTTTTGATGTTTAACGAGCACTTTTTTACGCCGATTCCGTAGTGCATGTTTGTTTGTTCATTTATTTTATGCTTATTAATAAAAAATTGCCAGCAATTTTCACTTCTTTCTTTGAAGCGCGGGGGGAAAGATACCCGTACAACTGCTACGTGAACGCTGCTTATAATCACAATTGCAGCCTAAAGTCTTTTAAATCGAGCGTTGTTCGATATGTAATGAATATTGCACGATAGCGCAAAAACGCTTTGCACTATTTTATGGATATTGATACGTCTGTTAATAGCTCTATTCAATACCTTATCTGCGGTATAATCACGACAGTTTTAAACAAATCGCAATATTGAGGAGCCATTCATTGACCATTTTTTAAAAAATGGTTGGGAAACGCGTTGAGAGTATTGAAAAACAAAAAGAGCATATACAAAAGTTTAAACAAACCTCGGTCATTCGGTTAAGCAGATTTTTTTATAATAAGGTTTTGGTCTAATAAGGTATGTTATGAGTGGAGTTTGTAATTTCTAACTGACACAGAGTCCGTCAAAGATGAAACATTATCTGACTAACCCGTGACTGTAACAGGAAAGAAAAATTCTCAAAAATCAGGAACATAATTGAAAGTGATGGTAAACAAAATATTAGTGATATCGTCAAACTGCTGGCATAATGCGAGTGCATTTTATTTTAAAGCTT